TACTCTCTCTCCGTCCCCAGCCCTCTCTCTCCCCACCCCAATCTTGCTCGTCTCTTCTCTCTCTCTCTCGTCTCTCTCTCTCTCTCTTTCTCTCTCTTCTCTCTCTTCTCTCCGCTCGCTCGCTCTCGCTCTCGCTCTCGCTCTCGCTCTCGCTCTCGCTCTCCGCTCTTCTGTCTCTGCTCTCTCTGTCTCTCTGTCTCTATCTGTCTCTCTGTCGCTCTCTCCTCTCTCGTCTCTCTCTTCTCTCTCTCTCTGTCTCTGTCTCTGTCTCTCTCTCTCTCTTGTCTCAGTCTCTGTTCTGTCTCTGTCTCTTGTCTCTGTCTCTGTCTCTGTCTCTGTCTCTCTCTCTTCTCTCTGTCTCTCTCTCTCTCTCTCTCTCTCTCTGTCTCTCTCTTCCTCTCAGCGTAATGCACCGCATCACGGGCGTGGGCAGTATCTCCCGCGCCGCCGCAACAACAACAGCAGGTACGTGCGGCGTAGCGGCGACAGTTGTCGCGATGTACGGCAATACCTGCGAGTGACGGATCGCTGAGCGAGCCTGCCGTAACGATTACAGCGTACTGCTAAAATCGCCGCGTGTCACGCACGAGCTTTCCAGTCGCGCCTGCCGTCCTCATCCATCTCCATTTCAAAACTGGAGCGAGTGATCTTTTACACGCGACGCTGCTCGGACGGTGCAGCCCACAGGCCCTGCGGGCGCACACTCGCAACACACGCTGAGCAATGTGGTTCAGCGTGGAAAGAAAACTGGTCTCCTCGCATCTTGTTTTGCGTGTTAAATATATGAATGGGTTTATTAAAACTTTTTTTTTCGTACGCAAGCAACGCTTTTACTATTTTTTTTTCTCAAAAGACGTTGCGTTACGTGTGTTTACTTTTGAGTTTCAATAATTTATCGTGCTATCAACTCATTTATCCGCTGCCATGAACCTTGGACGCGATATTAACATTGCCTTCAATCCTAGAATCGCATCACCCCCTATTGTATATACTAGCAAGCGCTCATGAACTAGTTTATGGGTTCTTGATATTATGATATCAACAAGAAGTATCAAATATAAAAAAAATTATGAAAGTATAGACAAGGCTACATTCTATCAAGCTTATCTATTTTTCGCCGTACTTACTTTACCTAAATACGAAATCAGAACGATTTAACGAATGTCAGAATTTATCTTTTATCTGTACATGGCGCCACATAAAAAACAATGTGGCCTCTGGCAGTTAACTAATGAAGGCTAGGCTGTTATAAGAGAGCTATAATAGTTAAGCATCCCCTATAGTAGGTGACACGCCTCCTGTCACACAGCCTCGCCCCCACAGCATTCTCATTACAATTAACAACGTCAGCGAAAAATGTTATTAAATTGCGCATAGATGGTGTGCAGGGTGTGTGATAAACTCACAGCCTGCTGGCACCCTGCGACTGATCGATGGGCCGGCAGGAGCAGCGAGGCAAGCTCCGCGTGCCAGCCCTCGGCTGGACAAGCATATCCAATGGCCGAATCAACATTCGTCAAAGCAAAAAGTAAACCGGTGTTAAATTGGCGCAACGCGCTCCCGAAAACGTGCAGCACACGCTCTACGCTCACCGGTGGATCCGCCTTGCCCCACCCCCAGGTTGGGAGGTTGTGGGCGGGGCGAGAGACACAATGGCATGGCACTCTGCTGCTACCCGCGCAACGTTAATAACGCGGGCATGCATGGGCCATGCATGCCCAGAGACGCGGACAGTACGCCAACAGCTTTCAGCAAAAAAACCTGCTCGCAACGTATTGAATTATTGCAATTAGCGCGAGTAACCTTTTCAGATCGGACAAATGACTGGATTAGCGTGATTGCCCTGCAAGACGCCAAGAGCCGTCAGCCACGCAGGAAAGTCGCTTTATTAACGCACTATTTACTGCTGCGATACCCGTACCTAGCCGGGCGGGTATCGAGTAATCATTAAAATATTAAAATACCGCACGTATATAAATGTCACATTATGTTGCAGGGCCTGTTGTCATTGACATCATAAATAGTTATGACCACCATAAGTGCAAAATGTTATGAACTTTTAGATTCATGATGTCGCAACTATTTATGATGTTTCTGACAAAGGGGCGCCAGAAATTTCATAACTCGCCAGTTAGAAGCTTAGCTAACCCAATTTGCCTGGGGCAAAGCCACGTGCGGGTTGTGTTCTGGAAGGTTACCGCCATTGACCATGTTATGTATCTACATTTCTCTGGGGAGCAACTGCCCCTTTCCCCCTTAGCTACGGCCAATGGCAGTGCTTCCCAAAATTCCCCAAACTTTAACTACCATCGTTGTAAAGTTATAGCTGATAACTCGACTAATATAATTAAATATACAGTAAACTGTGGTTGATAAAACTTATTAAATCACACAATATCGTATACGCGAATGTTATAATATACGCGTTATATATAAATGTACGCGAATGAAAAATACAATGCAAAAATACAACCATAAGGCGTCCATAGTACACCGATCTATATAAAAAAAAAGTGACACAATACAGCTGTAGAGATTCGTTGACATATACTCTACCCGTCAGCTATAGTCTACGTCGACGAAATTCATTTACACTCATCTCATTATTCTCAGTATTGCTGTCGCTTTCTCAACGTTTCGCTACCATCATTCTACGTAGGCCTACGTATCCACGTTGCTAAGAAAGCGCCACGTGACTAGGCTGTCACCAGACGACCGGTTACTTATTCCATCTCGCTTAGACAAGCGCTCTACGATAAAACGACTTGTAAATTATTATTTAACGTCGACGCATTTTATAATATTGCGAAATGCGCATTTTATAAAACGTGTTATTTTCGTTCGCGCGTGAACATAATCTTTATCCCGGTGTAGTTAGTCCGTATTCTAATCCTTCTCACGAAAGTGTTTTTCTAATGTATTACAAGTTGTTGTTATTGCGAATGTTCCCGATTATGTAATAATGCAATCATACTCACAACACGATTAATTTATATTATACCCATCATGTCTCTATTATATTTAGCTGCGAGAAACAATCCGAAAAAGTAAAGCTGTTTTGTGCCGCTTTAGACCGGTTCTACACGTGTAGCTTAGCATCAACCAATAGAGGCCGGCTATTTCGATATGCTGGCCAATTACGTCTGTGCAAGTCCGCAACGGTAGCCATTTGTAATTTTCTGCGGCAAATTTCGAGTTCAGCTTTCAGTGGCAATGTCGACGTCACTGAGTCTGTTATCTCTTTCATCTGACGTGATCTTCTCTACCCATAGAGCACATTCTAATAAAATTGGAAGTGTAATGCTATGACGGTCATTATTTCTTGGAATAAGTTAAAAAATTCAAGATCATGGAGATAAGATATATCATAAGAAAAAGTATGAAATGTCACATGTCGGAGACACTGTGACTTCAAATTCACAGCAATGATTAACTTACACATGATTAAGTATTTAACGGCGTTATAATAAAATAATAAATTAGAGTTTCATGTGTGTATAAATGACGACAGAGTAAGGTGCCAAGGACCTTTTCATTTAATGCATGAATGCTATGAACATAGGAATCCCATCTGTACGTATACATATATGTTCATAACAATGCAATATACACAACGACACTAGTACTAATCTACACTAATGTTTCCGATGATTGTTCATCTGTTGTCTGTCCGGCTATACAGGCGACCAAACAGTTGGTTCGTGGGGGCTGCGAATTGGTCCACGGAGATGACTTGAACCGGGGAGTGTCGTGGGATAAGTGTGGTTGACCTCAGATGTCACTGGAGGTCACAGGAGGTCATCGGAGGCCCAAGACAGTCACTTGTGACTTAACGACGCCAGGTAGAAAGTTCGTTATGAATGATATGAATGTCCCTCGACCCCACTAATGGTTGGGTGGATGAGGTCAAATCCGACCTCATAGGTCATGTAAGGTCGCTAGAAGTCACTTTACAATACTACACAATTTGATTTTCTAGAACCTTTCTGAAAACCTCTTACTACGCAATAGAACTTATCTGTTCATTCCATATGGCACAATGGACTTATAGAAACTTTCTGTACATTACACATTGCACATTAAAACGTTCTGGAAACATCTTGGATATTTCATGTTTACAGGCTATGCAATGAGTATCATTGCATCATTTCCTCCTTGCCCCCGAAAGAAAACCCACTAATGTTGTATATCCAGATCTTTATCCCGGTGTGGTTAGTCCGTATGTGAATCATTCTCACGACAGTGTTTTTATAAGTTGTTGATTTATTAAAGGTTGTTGACTTGTTGCGAATGTTCCAGATTATGTAATGAATAACGCAATCATACTCACAACATGTCTCTATTATATTCGGTGGGCGAATGTATTCTGTTGCACTGTATGTGTACGTTGTAGCAACTAGATGTGTGTTGTAGGGTATACGCCTGCCTAAACTCTTATTTCTCTACTATTGTTTTGAATTAAGTTAGTATTTTTCATTTCAGTCCACCCATATAAAACGTTCTTCGGTATACGATATTCCCGTGACATGCATTTCCTGCACCCCCGCAAGGTTAATCACGTTATAATGTCCCGCTAATTCATGACAGCCTCATCTATGTCACGTTTCCTTACGTTATGTTGCGTTTCCTTATGTTAACCTCTGCAAGCTATGCATTACTGAGGGAAAACGGTTACACACGTACCGCGTTACCGGCGCAATACACCGCAGCACACTCGTGATTAACAATGTCCTTGATCAGCATAGCATATTATAATACGATAGGCAATATGAATAGCATATATAACATCAGGAGCGATCATATATATTCGTCAACCAGTTCAGCCTAAAATCCGCGCGCAGCTTGCAGAAAATCGTGTCAGCGAACCAAGTTGAATGATATGCAATGAATGAGAAAGTCCAACGACGACGTGGCCCGATACATCGGAATGAAGGAATCGGAAATGAAGGACAAAACGTGAAATGCGAGATTACAGATACGTCGCACGTTGGCATACTCACATGTGAGACGTGGCGGCCACGGTCGCGTGGACGCAGGTAGCGGCTTCCTCCTCTGTGCGGAGCTATGTCAGCCACAGCAATGTCCGCCCCGCTCGGATCCAACCAGCTGCTGCAGCGTAAACTGAAACAGTGTAGGACAGCCGCGGCGGTCAGTTACGGTGCACGTAAAAATCCCCTCAACGACGGTAGCGCACAGACGAGACCGATAGTATATCGTATATCGCGCGAATATGGACGGATCCACGGACGGAGAGAGCGCGAGGAGAAACTATGCCTACTTCCGCCCGTGTTGCCGTGCTTTATAGCATGCGTAGCTGTGCGGCAGCGGTTTTTGCATGCGCACGACGAAAAATATGTTACCTGGACGCTCGCTCTATCTATCTATATCCCTCTCTCTCGCGCGCGCGCACGCTCTTTCTCTCTCTCTCTCTCTCTCTCTCGCGGCCTGTGTCTCGCGAGCGAGCGCTCTCTCTCTCTCTCTCTCTCGCGCAGAACCGCGTGTCTTGGTCGTACACACAAACACGCAGCGCCATGCCAGTACGCATGACCACGAGGCCGCGGCTACTTGAGTGGCGAGATAAAGAATTCCACTACTGCGATGCCAGATCAATATTTCTCATCGATAAACAGTGCTGACCAGCGCGCTCACACGGAGACCGAAAATGAGCCGCCACCGCGACATAAAATCCATCCCTCTCCCCTCCTCTCCCGCATGTACACGAGGCTGGCGCAGGCTTACGTCCGCAGTGTAAATGAATAGAGATGGATCTTTGGATTGACACGCCCGTCTTGGTCAGTTGTTAGTGGACAGCGCTCACTAATTTCCACAGCTTGCGACGTCGGCACACTGATGCGGTCCGATATTCAGTTAGGGACGGAATGGCATCTGCTGACATTACGGGTAGCATTATCCGAAGCTCGTTTTTTTCCATTCATCAGAAAACAGTAATGCCTGTATAGCAAAACAGCCAACCCGCAGGCGTTCTCTAGTTGCTACGTCTCTCCGACGTGCGACTCATTTGACGACACTAGCAACAATATCTGTACTAATTTCACTCGAGAGAGAGAAACTCACAGAGTTTTGGACAACGAATCCGTGTGGAGTGTTGAGTAACCGCGCTACACGCGGGCTTGATCCTTGCGCCGTCGGCCGGCACTGAACGTAAAATGTGCTTAAATGTGTCTGTCTATATAATCGTGTTACCTGGCGGTATTACATACGACTGGTCATCCGTGCCATGCAGCGCCGATAGTAGGAAACAAACGCTATATACCATGATCTTCGCTTGCACTAGTTTTGTGTTATCAGATATACGGCGACAGAATTTATTTCTCAGGCTAGCGTGTCAATATTTGTAAAAGCATCTCGTTTTTGGGCAGCATATACCGATCGTGTCAATCCCATACTGGTCAGAGTATCTGTTGTTGACAGTCATCAGGGAGGTTATCAGTGCAGTGGGGTGGGATGTATGTGTGACCCATTGCATATCCGTGTGCATACACGCGCTCCGAGACCAACTGTCCACCAGACAAAGGGACAGTTATTTGCTTCGAGCACAAGTAATATATCACGCTTTAATTATCAGCATCAATTATCTACGATATTTTTAATAGATATTAGCAGGAACGCAGCAAATTGAACCCGCACCGACATACACCTTGCACACAGAGCTTCAACAGTTGCACACCACCCAACAACACCAGGAAAAACTACGATATTAGACCGCGCTGTAGTTCCCTCGCGATAAAGAGGAACTTTATTATATTCGTTCACATTTTGTGCGTGCGACTCGAACGTGCACGTGCATCCGCGAAACGTATGAATCATCGCCGTGAATTTGATGCAATAACACGCACAGCGATCATGCGAATGCTGAAACGGTTCAAACCTAACATCTATTAGTAACTTAACGAACCGTCGGCAGTCGTAGCTAATAACGAACTTACGATAGAATAATAATAATAATAATAATAATAATAATAATAGCACGATTAGCATCCCTCACGCTTCATACATCGTATTCATTGTACATTCTCACGCACCGCCGAGTTTAGACTCTTCTGTCGGTACTGATGGTCTGTGCCTTGTAGTCATACCAAGAGCTAATAATAGAATAGGTATTAATAATAAATATAATAATAGCAGTAGGTATTATTAGCTCTTGGTTATATCTCACACCTTTGTTTATTCCTTGCCTTAATTATTGCTATTATTGCTATTATAAGGATGCACTCTTCGTTGACCGCCGACTGACCCTCCAGGTCTCACACAAGTACTTGTCATTTATCAAGGGTAAAAGTCTCGTACCGATGTCTCAGCCATTGTCTCTTACATGTCTCATACGCAGCACTTGTCACTCATCATTGGTCACCATTCTCACAATGACGTCTCAGCCATTGTCTCTTCCATGGCTCATGCATACTAGTTGTCATTCATCAATTGTCCTAGTCTCACAATGACGTCTCAGCCATTGTCTCTTCCATGGCTCATACATATATTACTAGTTGTCATTCATCACTGGTAAAAATCTTATAGTGATTTGTCAGTTACTTTCTGCTACATGTCTCCTAAATGGCACTTGCCATTCATCATTGGGACTAGTCTTATAGTGCTGTCTCAGCCATGGTATGTTCCACGTAATTGCGTGTTGTCGATTCGAAACCTTTTTCCGTCAAACATGCATTTTTGCTCACCATTGCTATGCCAGAAAACTGTGTACGGGCTGTTGAGGTCAAAGGTGGCAAATACTTGACAATGCAAGCAACACCTCTGTTACAAGTTCCTTGCAAATTACGCCTTGTTGACTTTGCTTTTTATCAGGGGTAGCTATCTAGCAGGTTGGTCACGGCATGTGTATCAGGTACAAGCACTCGCTCGATAGATATTCGGATCTGGCCAGATCCACGGCTCAATAAAATTTGAACTAGACGCTAATTAAAACGAAAGTGACCATTCCCAAAGCAGTACTGAAAAATGAGTGTTAAATGGCTGTAGAAATACCGCATTGTAATTGGTGCAGAGCATATACACGCAATAATTCCACGTAAATGCCGTTCAAATGCTCCTTTGCAACACTCAATTTCACCGCATGCACACCACTGTGTACAAACTCACAGAAAGATAGAGATCTATCTATATGCACGCACGTATATGCGCACGCACACGCACACGCACACGCACACGCACGCACGCACGCACGCACACACACACGCACGCACGCACGCACGCACGCACGCACGCACGCACGCACGCACGCACACACGACACTTACAACCCATCTTAATAAAATACGTCTATACTTAACAGATGTGGTTTTTGGAACAAATAGAATGTTCCACGCTACTTGAGAAGCTCATATTGCTTAATATTTCAACGCTGGAAAATCCCGCTTGATATAATACTTGCATCAAACGCTACTGTTGTAGTGTGAAGAATGTTGAGAAACCTCGGGAATCATCTTGTAGATTGTCGCAGGTATGAGGGATTGCCGATCGTAGATTGTAGGTCCGTGTTATAGATCGTAGTAGAGCAAGTCTCCAAATCAGATTCGTTACGTAACTCTGACTTTATTAGTAATGAAGGTGTCAATGACACTATAGCTCACCTTGGGCGTGATAGAAAAGGGGGATGATATTTAAAATTTGGCAAGTGTTTCATTTATGACAAATTTGGCAAGTGTTTCATTTATGACAGACCGAAATGTGATCAAATGTCCTTATTCCCTGTTTTATACTAATAGAAATTTCACTGGTTTGTTTTAGGGTTAGTTTTGATGCTAAAATAAATGTTTCTGATCTGAATGTCTGAAATCTGGGCGATAGATGGTATGATAGGTATGATTAGGTAGGTAGGTAGGTAGGTAAATTTAACAAAATCGAATGAAACTAGATGGCCATTCCCATTTTTGCCAAAAAGTGGGCGTGGCTCGAAAGTAGGTCGACTGGCGTGCTCCAAAATAGGACGTTCAAACCTCTCCCATAAAAGTAACAACTGCATGCAATTTGAAACATGTGGGTCAAACGGGTTACGGTCACGACCGGTTATCAATAGCTGGTTATTCTGACGTCATGTTTTAATGTGCTATTGTCTTTCATATTTGTGCTCGCGTGGGGCACGCCGGCTTAATTGGCCGTTAACTTCCACGCCAGTTACCTAACAATACTAGTTCTGCAAAATATTATTGAGAAATATTACACGAATTTAGGTGAAATGGCGGCCCGACTGTGAACGTGAACGTCCATGCATTTGTCATCATGATTATTGTATCGATCCTTTCTCGTGCCATTCCTAACCTTTGCGACTTTTTTTTACACTTTTGTCTAAAATATTCTGGAACACTATTCGTACATAACTCTAACACCGATAAAAAGGTAAATATAAGAAAATCTAAGGCCACCATTTAACACCGCATTTAACGCGAATTTAATGCTCCATATATGACGAAAATTGCGCAAAATGAATAAGATTGATATGAATTGCTGAAGCAGTGAAGTCGAGCGTTACCTGGACATAAACTGACAGCCGTAGCATAAAGGAAGGATTCACAATACGCACAATTGTCCCCCCACCGTCCCTCGCCGGCTCTCGGAGCCGTGAAGACGTGTACGGCGTGAGGTGGATGGAGAGATGGTACAGGCAGTCTTTACATACGCTCATCAAGTATATAAAAGTTTTAAATATCATCAATCGCAAAAAATATCACCGTACTACCTCCTATAGTAAACTACTGCCGATATAGAAGATTTGATTCAGTTTGTGCTTTATCATCTTGTATAAACCTAATTTCAAGGTACCGGGAAGAAGAAAAAAATTCCACCCCTATCCCCTGGAAACAGCTGTCAAGTGTGTGGCAAGATGTGTGGTTCGCGTATAGGATTTATAAGTCATCTGAGAATGCACAGAGAATAATTTTAGAACTTCTATACAATCATACTCGCTTGCGAGTGATTCCGTAGATTGTAGATAGAAACTTAAATTCAAGAATTTGTAAACCTATTATTTGCTTATATGGCGTTTATTCTCATCTCTACCTAAACGAACGTTTTCCCAATGGATTTTGCTCAAAGACATACTATGAGTTCCAGAGAGCTGCAGAGGCAAGCTACAACAAAGACTATATCGGGACTACTATTGCTGGCTGGGCAGGAAATCGAAAACCAACTCACCATCAAGCGTGTCCCACCGCCCGTGTTGTTGAAACTAAAGCTATTCGTTCAGGTAGGCAGGCCCACCTGAAAATGAAATGACAGTGGATCGATTAAATAGCATTTAAAAACGGGAAACTGCTACAGAGACAAGGTTACTCGCTGCGGCTAACCTGAAAACCCGAACCGAAGCCACCTCTACGCTGTACGCAGGGGCAGCTGAAAAATATGAAGCGATCTACGGACCTTATCAAGGCAGCGCAAATAAGCACGGTTCAAACGATGGGTACGCTGCGTTATAATCTGCCGCTGCAAGTGTGATTTCCGTGGGGGGTGTATTCCCTACCGGCAGGTACGTACGTGCGTCTCTCCGGCTTGACCAAATGTAGAGCGGTGGTTTTATGGCCTTATCGAGCGATCGGCATGTAATGAACACTTGCTGGCATGTAATGAAAACTGGGTTCCGACAATTAGTTTTCAACTGCAATGCAGGCGCGTAGCTCATTAAAAGTTGCATATATACGTGATGGTAAAAACCATCAATCAAAGTGCAATTAGGCAACCTGATCAGAAATGGCAGGTAGGGAACCGAGACCAACTGGTTGCGAAATATATTTAGCGGTACGAGACAATCAGCAAATACTAACGCAGCAGTAACGGCGATGGGGAGGTCTTTTATGTGGTTGTTGAGAGCCCTATATCAGTATATGTAATGGCATCGGTAGTGAGCACCTTTTTCGCCACAAGATTCCTCTCTGGACGTTGGTGTCTGGGCGTCACAATGACCGATTACGTTGCCACGACTTGCTCTGATGTTAGTTGTACATGCGCGTTACGCAATTGTGTTGAAGATTGTATCATCGAAGTACGACAGTTTATAATGATCTTCTTTCATTATATATAAGGTAGCCATAAAAGGTACTCACAGTGATGCAGCTATGGCCATATCATGTGCGTTCACGTTTATATTAGGTGCATACATGTGTGCGCGCATGCGCTTCCGCGTATCTGTCTATGTGTGCAACAGTGTTGTGGCTCTATGCTTTGCATGACTCTTAGATTTCATAGCATTAGGCTAAAATCACCCGCTGGCTATCCCAGCGGCTGTGTTTCAGTCGTGCCGTCTTTCCAGGCACCATGCCGCGGTCAATGCCTTTGTGTACTAATGAACAAACGTATATGAAATTGCAAATATCACTTATTTCGCGTTTCAAGCTCTAATTTACTGCCCTGTTTCTGGATGTAATCAGAGTGCAATGTCCATGACCGCAAAGAGTTATGGTAAACAACATTATGGCACTGTGCCCAATGACTGAAGCCGTGGTTACGTGAGATCGCGTGCCGGAGGGGAGGCAGGCAGGGAGAGAGGGAGGCATGGCTCGGCTATACGGCGGTGGGTGGTTCCGTAACCGTGTTTGCCAGCTAGAGTGGCGAGTACGCGGTCGTGTGCCCGCATTGTCCAGCCATGGAAGTCGCTGTTCGCCGTAACGACGACATTGCGGCCCTGCCCGTGCGATGCGCGGCCCACTTTTTCCTACAGCTACACCGAGATGTGCATCGAGCTTCGACAGGAAGGGAAGAGTCAGGTCACGCTGGCTATTCATCTCTTTGCCAACAGCGCGCCTGTCCGTAATTGCACTCTGCCTCATCCGCACGCCATAATGATGTTTTCCTCATCGGCGCAGAAAGGAAATTCATTTTGGAAAATACAACGGTAATCTGCGGAGCAGGGTCAACAGGTATTGATCAGTGAGTGCATGTTTTGTAATCAGCCTGCTACATTCGCTATCCTCTCGTTCAGCCTCCGCAGCCAGCAGCCATTCGGCGAGGCTGCACTGTTTCGCTGCTAAGCTCCATATACATGTCACTGCATCAGCATATACTCATGCATTCATAATTGCGCGCAAACGCACGTACACGCGCGTGCACGCACACGTGCACACGCCAACATGCACGCCTACGTAAATCTCAAGGCATACACGGGTCTCCAAAATGAAGCGGGAAATGCTGTTACTGGACAATATGAGAGCACGGCGCGGGTCTGCGCCATTCACAACCTCTCCGTCGACATCGTTATCGCGCTTTAAAGTTGAACAAAGGCGTCGATATATCGTGCGCGCGAGCTCGTATATATATTGAAGAAATATTCACTGAAACCTATATCATTGTCAGTGTCGCTGCTTGCGAAACATTGCCGTAGAAAATATCAACCATCACAGAGCGATTCAAGGAGAGTAACTACGTTGAGCCGAGTCAAGTTATCTTGCTTTTATAAACGATTGTACGCGATTCGAACGAACAAGCTTAAATTCACTACGTACTAAAAGATTTTTAGCGCACGGGTTTAAAGCAGTTAATGAGTTAATTGCACTGATAACGTAGACAAGGTGGAATTTGAACCCGTTTTAAAATCTTTGCAATAAATAACTTTTGAGGATTGATTTAAGCATGTGAAAATTCAAGGTTTTACACTATTGGCGTACTTACGATCATTCCGGCATTTCTTGATAAGGCAACCACGGTCACAACACGTACATCCATTAGATTTAGCGTCCTGAAAAGTTCATGCTAGCTTATAGACTATTCCTCCTTATTTTTTTTACTCCCATTTCCAGCTTTTTTTCTAACTTAGGACCCACTTTATAAACGGCGTTTTGTATTTGCTGCTATTCCCCACGGAGGTGTCGCTGCTATCGCTCATGCGCATTCAATCAGCTTTCCGCCATTAACCGAAACTGCACATCTAAACTATGTTTTAAATTTGAGATTTTCCACTATGCAGGAATAACATGCTAGTCATTTTACAGTTTCTTTTATAAAGAAATGCAGTCTTGGAAATAAGTCTGAAAACTCAGCCAGTCCTGATTTCGAGAATTTCTAACATGTAGTCCTAACCTAGAGTAAACGCAATAGAATAAGTCAGCCCTGCTTAAAACCTACACGCCCGGACCAGGTGACGGAGTGCCATTTCCAACAGTAAGCAACAGCATTCGCTTCAGCCTTGTAGTTTAATTTATCAGATATCGTTTGACTCTGCCTTAAATTGCTTGCATCGAGCGCGTGGTATCTTTAACATATGTGGAAGCCATTTATACGACCGCCACCTTAGCATTCGCGTGGTTCGCCGATGAGAGACAAAGATTTACCTTCAACGGTTCTCACCTATACCTCAACGAGGCGCGATTGCCTGATTATCCTTTTACACTGACCACCGGAAATAATTTAAAGACGATGCCGGGTGCATCTTGGATAGTAGCCAATCAAAACGGCCGGGTGAAACAGTGGTCAGCCTCGTAAACACCTGCGCCGGACGCAGGGGCCGTACGCGAGTGAGGTAATTAATTAATTAATTAGCCAGATGTATATATTGATACGTTGACCCGCGGCAAATGTTAATGGGAAAGAACGTACAAACGTGCTATTAGTGCTATCGATCGCGCGACATGTGTATGCATGCATTTTTCATGGTGTCCTGCATGCAGGGACGTGCGACAGTCTCGCTCCATTGAGGCACCCTTTTATTTTACATATTGATCGTTCATGGCATCACTTATGTACCCACAACGCTGTGCAAAGTTCTTGCCTCCTCAACGCATATCATTGCCGACTTCTCATTCGCTTTGGATGGTCCACATCCCCCGTCTACCCATACATTAACTTTACATGAGACAGGCAGTGATGTTTCTGTGAAACCAATCATCTTGCCCAAAAGCTTGGAAACCCACTACTGATAAGGCAACAAGTGTGAACTGCTACTGCTGTTGCTGCTATTGCTATTACTGATGCTGTTACTGCTTCTCCTACTGCTGCTACTACTACGGCGCTACTGCTGTTACTGCAGCTACTGCTACTGCTGCTGTTGTTGTTGTTGTTGGTGGTGTTGTTGTTGTTGTTGTTGTTGCTAGTGTTGTTGGTGCTTTGCTGCAGCAGCGCCACCGGTGGTGGCTACTGCGGATCCAGCTAGCCCTACTGCTACTGTTACTGCAACAGCTATTGATCATGACTTTGTTACTACAGATGCTGTCGTTACTCGGGCTGCTAATAGCAATGCTTCTGCTGTTGCTACAACTGCTGCTGTTCTTTGCTACCGCTACTATTTGTATTAGCATCCCATGCGCCCAAAAGGCTTCTCAACAGAAACTAACCACTCGCACTCCCCTGATTTACAATCGCAACTTGAAATTTTCCAGCAGTATATGAACTTTTATCGACAGGTTTAAACACAATAAAATGAATAGGGTCGTGCGATGGCGTCCGCAATGAATGGCTCTTCATTCCATTGCCGAAACGAATCACAACGTTACGGAGCACGTCGCATCTCGCCGACCAATCAGGGTCTGAATAGGTGCGCGCGTCAGCGAAACGTTATTTTATCTTTTGCAGCTGAGCGCTGAAGCGGTAAATTGCTCGCGCGGATGCCCGAAAAGAACCGACGCAAGTACATCACAAAAACCAAGCGCGCTCAGTCTTTTGTTGGACACACGCGCACACAAACACACATACGCACACACGCACACACGCACGCACGCACGCACACACACTCACACACACACACGCTCACACACACACACACACACACACACACACACACACACACACACCACACACACACACACTCACCACGCACCACGCACGCAAGCACCGCAACCACACACATCACACACACACAGCAGCGCTCTCACACACACAGCACACACACACACACACACACACACACATCACACACACACGCACGCCACGCCACGCACGCACGCACGCACCGCACGGCACGCACGCACGCACAACACACACACACACACACACACACACACACACACACACACACTCACACACACTCACACACACTCACACACATGCTAATGTGCTACGCACCGGCACTGCATTAGCATCACAAATCGTGGCGCGGGGACATGTAAAGCTATCTGGCCCGCGTCCATTCAAGCGCAATCAAGGAAAACATTATTAAAAGCTGGCTTTTTTATCTGCCGGTAAATGTGAGACTGTGTCCCCCCCGCAAAAGCCCTCGCCGGACAGCTCTCGCAACAATCGCTATTCTTCGCTAGCAAAAAGCCACATTTGAGGTTTTTCA